CTTGCGCATATACTTGGCCGATATAACCCGACAGGCATCGCCTTTATTTTTTAAATTTTTCGATATCTTATATCAAAAATATCTCAAAGCTTTTCAAGTAAAATATAGCTTAGAGCACTCACGGCATTGCTCTTATGAAGTATCACTACAAACGGTTCAGTCAGTCCGAAGATTAGCCCGGACATACTAACTGACGGATAGACAGACAGTTGAAGTAACAGCCTATATACGTCCCACAGCTGGACACAGGCCTCGTCTCATTACTGAGAAAGTTATTTAAGGCAAGAAAATGTCCGCCGTGCTACCACAATGTGTATTGTGAAAACTTCACATGTTTTCTTATTTCTCAAACATGCCGGTTTCCTCACGATGTTTTCCTTCACCGCCGGGCACGTGGTAATCAGCACTTGAAATTGTAAATAACAATTTCATTGGTGCCGGTGGAGATCGAACCCGGGTTGTTCGCATACTATGCAATTTACAGCAAGCGCTCAGCCCCTGAGCTACCACATCTAGACATACAGACAGACAAGAATATTTTTTATAGATTAAGGGTGACAAGCAAGTACACAGTCCCCTTGATGGTAAGTGGATGCTGTGGCCCATAGACATCTACATTTATCCTCGATCAAGAATCAAAACGCAGATGCGCTGCCACCCCTGAGGACTAAGACGGAATGCCTCGTTTCTAGTAAAACTGGGTCTCCAGAAATAATATTGTTATTCATATCATGGCATGAAAAGAAGCCTCAGCTCAATCACACATCAATTTTATTTATATGTATAGATTAATAACACACAAACATACATAAAATGAACGCATCTATGTTTGAAAGCACACAGTTATAGTTACGGGAATCCGCCAATGATCTGTCGCAAACGGGGTCATTGTAAATAGCCTAGGACTACGCTGCAAGACATTTAAGTCGAGAAACTGCATTTGCAAAATAACGTCATGCCGCGTTAGATTAGAAAATATACATTATTCACAAATGTACATAAATTCACATAATCCCACTGGAAATCTTAAAACATAGGCAATAACTTGTTTAAAGGGTAAAATTAAGGCGAAAAACGAGCACACATGATGATCAGATGGTAAGTGGATGTTGTGGCGTATAGAAATTCCCAGCTATCCTCAATTAAAAATCATAATGCAGATACGTTGAACCTCTGAGGACTGGGATGGAATGCCTCATTTTCAGTAAAAAGGGTACACGGTTATTTTGTGAGAGCGTGGTCCTTCCCCGGCCGAGCTCGCATTCATGCTGGAACTATCCGTTCATACATATGAATAATTGTTAGTACCAGTAACTAAATTAGGTTTATTTAGTCACGTACGCCAGTGACTAAAAGGCGAAAAATGTTTTTTCGAAAGGCTTTTGAAAATAATAGCATTAAATCGAATTACTTCCGAAGATAGTAAAGCGCCCTCACTTAACTTTACCACTGTTGCCTCTTACCAATATTGAAAGGATGGAAAGCAGATTTTGGTAAATTATTCAACTATTTTACTGTATGCATATTTCTATAGAATAATGATGACAAACGAGCACACAGTCCACCTGATGGTAACTGGATGTTGTGGCCAATGGACATATACATTTATCTTTAATTAAGAATCAAAATGCAGATGCGTTGCCACCTCTGAAGAGTAAGATAGAATGTCTCGTTTTCAGTAAAATGGCTCTCCGGTTCTCTACACTCACCATACGAAACAGAACAGCACTTAGCTGCTATTTTACGCTGGTATTCTTTGAGAGCGTGGTCCTCCTACCCCGGTCGAGCCGACCCATTCGTGCTACAACCAAATATAGCTGCAGCGTGGCTCCACCACGTATAATGTGGGTAATCTACTGTTCGAGTGGAATTTAGTAATTGATAAAGCAAGTTAATAAAAACGTCTAGTAATGTGTTGAGGGAGTATAAAAATTACGTTTGTGGTTCGCTCGCTATATAATAGCTATTAATAATTAGTTGCCGATAAGTAATGTAATTTCGCAGTTAACTATCTTAATGGCCTCTCAGTTAACAGTCTAGCCATTTTACAAAATGGTGCCGTTCAACTAGCGACCTGAATGTTATTCAGCCGATGCGTCTAATACAGGGATTCCCAAAGAGGTCGATATCGACCCCTTGGGGTCAAATTCGGTTTCCCTGGGGTCGACATATATGAAAACTGATTTTGGGTATTCACGAGGTGTAAACATCGACCCCTATTTATGTATTTATTTATTTGCTTTTTAGTATGTAAGCTAAATGAGATACTATTAAATACAATGTATTACTACCTGATGGAGACGCGCAAATTTGATAATTCTTGGAAATTTTGGTTTTGCATAAATTAACATATTAAAATTAATCATATCAAATCATTTAATCAATAACAACAAACAATTCTTTCTACTACATAAAGATGTCAAAAGCATAATTAAAATGATAATAATAATAAAGAAAATTTGCATTTAACAAAACATTATTATTTATTAGTTTATTATATACCATGTCCGTTAGTCCAATATCAATTAAGAGCTATAGTCCTAAAAAAGTTGTCATCAGTCATTTAAAAACTCACTAACCGAGTAAAATGTATTTTGAAGAAGCCACTGGTGTAATTTTTTTTAGTTTGTTTAGGAAGATCTTTAATTTTAGTATAGGAAGATATTAATTAACACAAGTTCTTATTTGAAATTTTCCAGAAACTGTATAAGTTGTGTTACGTGTACCAACTTGTTATAGGAGTGACTAATATTTTAAGTTTACTCACTTAACTAACCGCAAAGTTTATAAATTGGTAAGTAATTTGTATCAATAGAAAAATAAACTAGAAAATAATTTGTGTATGGGGGTCTGAGGTATCAGGTCATTTTGGAAAAGGGGTCTCTTGCCCAAAATAGTTTGGGAATCTCTGGTCTAATACAACATTGCACTTATCTTGTAATATCAACGACAGTAGGTAAAGGTGCGCCTGGGGTGGCCCTTAAGGCTACATTTATACATATAATATAGGCACATAGCTCATAATTAGGCGCAGGCAATTTGTTAAGCTGGACTGTTAACTGAAAGGCTTATTATACTAGTTGGCTGCGACATATACACAGAATATGTTAAAGGAAGTATTTTACCCTTCGATCAACAATACCAACTAGATAGCGGGTCACGTACAAAATCATAGCTAAATACTGTCCGCATGAATATAAACTATGAAAAGACATAAATTAAATAACATTTAGTGCGAAATCAACCTTAAGTTATAACAAATAAATTTCTTTTTCCCGTTATTGCCTTGCGAGCTACACTCTCACGTGCAAGAGCTCACGTCTCATGTGCGCTCTTATTTACTGAGATGGATTTCTTGCGCCGACCCGACATCTAGTTGGTATTGTTGATCGAAGATTTTACCATAATCATTATCAAATACAGAAACACAGTAACACAAGCAACACCAAGGATAGGTAAGTAAATAGAAAACAATACTCAAGAGGCCAGAACGTACATAGGTGAGGGGTCTGGGGCAATAACCTGCCCCTTACCTTGTCTCCCCCTCAACTCCGTAAAAAGCAAACGTAGTTATATTTCTATTTTATTAATACTTACTGTGAAGCAATAACTGTTAAAGAAAATCAATTAGACACTACTAAGATACTAATAATGTTAATAAACGGAAACTAGACATATCAAATATTAAAAGCCTCGGTGGGATGAGCTTCACTTTGTTCTGAGGCAACTAAGTTTGTCAATGCAATAATTCTGCCCCTTAAGAATCGTTTTTAACAACATTACAATTACAAACAACAATATTTTTCCAAAACAGAGCACTGCAAAATTACTAATTGTTAAAATTTTCGCAAAACGACATGATTCGATCTATAACGGAAAAGTTCTATACATGTACAATTACAGGTAATGTTGTCAATTACCAACAGTGTTTAAGAATATAGAAAACATTAAAGATTTAAAAGAAATAACCACCTAAGATGCACGTGATAATATAAAATGATGTGTCTTACCCAGTTTTAAGAGTACTCCGCCCTCCCTTAAGGGGATTACATTGCTCAAATCCCAAAAGCATCCTATGTATAAAGAAGTTTGTATAAGAATCTCTTTGTGTCTGTGCCTCATAAAAAATATTAAACTCATCACAAATAAATGGTATTCATTAAAATTTTAATAAAAATGTTATTTTGGAAATTTTGACACAAAAAAAAGTAAATAGGCTCATTTTTAAGATAAATTGTAAATTGTTTCAATAACGGCTTAATAGTTGACATTTTTTATAATATACCACAAACCCGCAATGACGCATTTAACAATAAGTATTGTTTATTTCTTTTTATTTCATTTACCATTTTTTGAATAATAAAGTAATATCCAAAATTACACTAGCACCCCGCGCCGAGCACCCCCGCAACGGCTCAAGGTCATTGGGCAATGTAATATACCCTTAATTGCGTGCACCATCCCCGTCACCACTATTCCCTACACCACTACCCCCACTGCTACCACAGGTGGTGATGGGATAGCGCACTAGGGAAGGATTTTCTTTGAATTAAGTAATACATACACATCCTTTTATTTTATTACGCGGATCTTAACTAATTAATTTTCAATGATTAAAATCTTTAATATAATAGATTTCCGAAAAATAATGCCTGATTCTATTAACTGAAAGAGAAAAAAAATTAAATTGACACAATCAAAAACGATTTAATTTAAATAGAAGACAAATATAAACATTTTGAATTATCATAATGACAAGCGATTTATTTGCTTGAAATCTTTAATATAATGGATTTCCGAAAAATAATGCCTGATTCTATTAATTGAAAGAGAAAAAAAAACAAAATTAAATTGACACAATCAAAATCGATTTAATTTAAATAGAAAACAAATATAAACATTTTCAATTATCATAATCAAAAGCGATTTATTTCATTTGCGGGGCCCTGTTTGTCAAGTAGAAGATATTCGAGCAGTCAAATGTGGTGTGTGTGACGTACGATACATCCAGAGGCGTAAGTGGAGGTAGGGCAGGTGGGGTCGTCGGCCCGGGCCCTGCGTCCCACCTTACAACAAATAGAGAAAAATCCATGTCCATTAAAAAAATCCACTGTCGACCCCATACACCACTTACGCGTCTGGCTGCTCGGCGGTAATCTCCTCGAATCGCGGAAAGGCAAAGGTCATGCGCGATGGAGCCTTGCGGGCGAGTACATCCCTCACTACGTTAAGGGTGCTTGTTTGAAAAAAGCGGTAGCAATGTTTGTACGTTTTGCCAACTCGTCATGCACACGAGCGTTAAGAGCATAGTGGTGCTATGGAGCCGAAATTATATTCTAGTTATTTTCTAGATTTACTTCTATAACTACTTTCTACGGTTTAAACGCTGAAGATATATTATAATACTTATATTTATGAAGGATAATCTAATAATTTTAAATATTGTAATCATCCTAATTATAACTGTCAATTTACAAAATGACATAAAAAGTTAGTTTATTCTATGTTATTAAATTTTAACTAATTTAAGTGTAACATACCAAAATAAGTGACTAAAATTAAAAGCTATTCTCAAAACAAAACTGATTTGCATTAATAAATTTAGGATCATAACGAATATCATGTAGGCAAAGTCATTTGATCTTCTACGCCTCGCCTCTAGAAGTGAAGATAAATAAAATACATGTTTTGCATTGCATCGGGGAAAAAGTTACCCGAATTTGACAACACTCCAGCGAAAGCAGGCAAGTCTCTCCTCAACCTTATTACTAAACTCCATACTCATATACAGACAAAAGATCTATCCGAGTTGGAGTTAAGTTTAAATGGCAGACAGTATGAACTAAATTATTCTGACCGCTTGCACAATTTATTGCAAAAGAACAGTAACCGAGTAAAGTCGTGGAGTGTCCCTCGGTATTCAAAATTTTAAATAAATAGTATATATACTTAAATATATATTTTAATCCGCACTTAAAATTGTAATTAACAATACATATATTTTAACAATAACAAAAATTTTTAGAATCACTACTCTCGGCGAGAATTGAACTCGGACTCTAATATTTTAAAACAAGCCCCTGAATAGTCTCGACTCTCAGACCTATGGTATATCGACATAAGTAAGTATTCAAACATAATGCAACCTCTCTGTATACGCCGACGAGTACATGTTTTCTCCTTTTGCGACGCAAAAAGTGAACAGACAACCAAACATGGTATATATTTCTAACTCCAAAATTCAAAAATATGCATTTGAGCTGAAGTAATAAAAATGAAAAAAAAATACGACTTTAGTTGTTACTATGTTTATTTATTTATTGTATTTGCTTTATTGCACACCATACAAAAATTACAGATTATATAAACAAAAGAAGTATGCGATGGGCGGCCATATTGCTGATAGCAATTTCTTCCAGACAATCAATAATGGGCAGGATTATACAAGGATGACAGGATTTTATACAGATTTTTAGACAGAACTAGTATAATTCGCCTATGTTGCCAGCACTGTTGTTCTAAAAATTTATTTCATGTCTTGATGTTGATAGAATAGTTTGGCGCCCTTTCATACATTTACTTTTACTAAGGGAGTTTATATTATCTTTGTTACGCATATGCAATGAAAAGTGTATTTTGTGTAAATTGCGGCTCTGCTAGTGGTTATATGTTGTTGAAAGACGTTACTAAAATTGTTAAATATAACACGATATTGTTTTTGAGTTTCTTAAAAATCACACCAAATGATAAAAACCATAATAGCGGTAGTTCTATTGTAACCTCAAAATCTGGAACATTTTTTTGAAATATATCTTTTCTGCAGCTGGTCCGCTATAAAAATAATATCATATATCCCTAATGATTGACAATACAACACACAATTTTCCGATGTTTTTGGTTCCAGGGCGAACAATGTATGGGCGCTGAGCAATGTTGTATAAAAATTACTAGGGAAATCCTTTGTTAGTCAAGTCAGTTTTATAGAAAAAAAATTGCATCCATTTCCATTACAGGACGAATGCATCAAATTAGCGATCGGCCGGCAAATAGTCACCCATTAGGCCGAAGCACATAACATTTTCTAAGCTGCCTCCCTTTTAACCGCAACAGTACATCTAGCAAAGATAAAATATATAGGCCACTAAACACGGAAGCACCTCACCGTTATAAACGAAACAGATCTTGAGCGAATTGTGAATTTGAATAACATTTTCTCTGAATTAACTTGTTAATGGGCGTTGGAAGTTCGCCAGTTTATATTTGAATTTTAAACATAGAAGTTAATTCTGCTACTATATTCATTTAATAATGATAATAACTACTATGGGGCTACTATGGGCGGTCGGTGGTAGGGAGGTGATTTGTGCAATAGCGTTCCCGTGGCCCTACGAATATGCGGTGAAAGTGGAACACCTTATGGAACACCGCACCACATTGACTAAAACCCTATGGTTTTAGTCGATGTGGGTCAAACGTAACCCGTCCTTGCCTCCGCAAGACGGTTATGGATTTCCCCATGTTAAAAAAGGGTGAACCATATCGTCCAAAGAACTGACACTATCATGGGAAAGAGAGATTTTCGCTTGAAAGCCTAGTACTGACTCCAGATCTGATCCCCCACTTTATGTAATGAGTAGCTGGTGAAACATGCAGTCCATATATGAAGGTGCCTCAGGAATGAGCTGCGTAGGAATCTACTGTGGAGACAAACGTTCAGCACGGAAATTGTAAAGAGCTGTGATGAACTCAAGTTTAATGAGGACCTCAATTAACATTAAAACCATGTTCTGCCGGTTCCTTTTAGCCAATTCGAAAAATTAAAACCATGATATCCGAAACTTTTTGTCCTAAACAAAGAACGGTACAGATAGCATAATAATATTATAAACTCCACGGAGTACTTTATTTATAACTGAATATAAAGCATTATCCGTAACATAAGGTCATTTAGCCGTCTCAATATAAATTATACATTGTATAATATGATATCGCAAGTAAAACCACTTTGTCATATAGCTTTTTACTAAAAGGAAAACCAATAACCGATCAATTATTCGTGTTGAACAGGGGCGCGTAGCCTTTTTGCAATATAAAATAAGGCATTGATATACATATATAATAAACATATATTTATTAAGGATCGATTTTTTTAATCCTCAGATAAAGTTTATTCATACAATAAAATACATAAACAAATTCAAACTCACTATTGTGTAAATAAGTAGTTTAATTTTTTCATTCCTATGTTCCCTAAGGTTATAATTTCTTTGAAGGATATCTTTTATGTGATGATTGAAAAATCCGCCTTTAATTCATTAAATTATAGATCGAAAACAAAATAATACTATTGCAATACGTACGTACGTAAACCACGTAAGTATCTAAAATAACAAGATTGGATCAGATATTAATGTAAATAACGTTGTCATAATTATCAGATATCACATAGATTATCAGTCAGAGAAACATTATTGTCATAGAATAATAATATTAATATTAAGATAAATAACATTAAAGTGAACAATGAAGACTGGAACACAGCAGCAGGTGTGCTGATATGCTTGAAGACAGGAATCTAGCAAAGCAGGGATAGTTCTACTGCCTTATCTTCTCGTACCAACCCTCCATCCTTTACAGCTTATAAAAGTCCACTACTAGATGTAGGCTTCCGTTATAGATTGACTCGTAGGGGGGGTTTTATTGAATTGTCACGTTTGGCAGGCGGTTTGGTAACTGCATTCTTTTATTATTTTGAATTGTTAACGGGAAGATGCTGCTCCCCATCATGTTTCAGTTTCGCTCTGTGGCCTCTCACGACACCCACGAGATGATATGGAGTAGTGTATATACTTACGCCGCTACAGTTGAAAATAATCTATTTCGAAAAAGGTTTCGGACCTCTGCTCTGTAGCAGCTAGTTATCGGTGCCCGATCGATCGACGTCGCCCGCACCGGTTGCATTTGCATTGAATAGTACTGAGCGTTGTTAAAGTTAATGTTGTAAAACGATGTGACCGATGCTGAGGTCACAGAACTGAGTGATAGACTGACATTGGGCTACGTGTAGGAATATCTACAACACCATATCCTCCCGTGGTTGTCGGAAAATGGGACAGAGGGAAACAAACCAGGAGATGGGCAACGACTTCCTAATAAAATCAAGAAATTTAAATAAAACGGCGGTTATTAATGGAATCATCATCATCATTACATCCCTTAACTGATCCACTGCTGAACATAGGTCTCCCAAAGGAATGCCACAAAGCACACTTCTGAGCCACCTGCGTCTATCGTCTTCCTGCATGTTTTACCAGTTCATCAGTCCATCTAGTAGGGGGTCACCCTACACTTTGCCTACCGGTACGAGGCTGCTACTCGAGAACCTTTCTTCCCCATTGGTTGTCGAGTTACATGACCGACATATTACCATTTCAGCTTAATAATCTGTTGGGCTATGTCGGTCACTCTGGTACTACTGCGGATGTCCTCATTTTTAAGTTTATCAAGCAGAAAAACCTCGAACATAGATCCCTCCATAGCTTGCTGAGCGACATTGAGCTTCCTATTACGACCAGTAGATAGTGAAGGACCACGTCTCGACGCACTAGTTGCACATTCTCGTTTTTAAGTTTTGAGGTATACCTCAAAGCAATCAGTGGACTTGTAGGCTGTAGTTGGTGAATAGATAGATGATATATAAAACTGTTTAATGGATGAAGAATCTGAGACATGTGACAGCCAGATGCTGGGGCTGCTAAGAAGCATGGTCCGTGTTCATTATGATAATGACGAATCCATATCTAAATGAAAACTTAATCAATGCATTCAACCCATGGAGTGGTGAGAATTTGACGTAGGTGTAGCAATTTAGAATAAAATGAGTCATTTACTATGGGAAAAAGAACAAGTAATATCCTGGAATTGCGCCTCTGTCGGATTGCAAGCCAATTAAGCTTAGATCCATATTGCGAAATATGGTCATACTTACGAAGCCCATAAATAAATCTTATACAGTAATTGAGAAGGCGTTCCAGCTTATTCAGAAGATCCTGGGACAGATCAGGGT